GTACCAACTGAACAACTACATATAAGAAATACACACAAATAAATAAAATATCAATCAAGCACACCCAATATCACAGATAGAATAAGGAGAAAATATGCCCAGGTATTTGTGTCTCCTGACATCTCAGGAACTGCCTTCTTTCCCAGGTGTGCAAAGAAACTGCCTCCTTTCCCAGGTTTGCACACCTGGAAAAAGGAGGCAGTTTCTTTGCACGCCTGGGAAAGGAGGTATTTCTTTGCACACCTTTCCCAGGTGTGCAAAAAACCCTCCCTCCTTTCTCGAGTATGCAAAAAAAACAAAAACCTCTCCTTTCCCAGGTGTGCAAAGAGCTTTATGTGCAAAGAAACGGCCTCCATTTCCAGGCGTGCAAAGCGCTGCTATTTCTTTCTCTCTCTTTTTTCACCCCCTTTCTGGAGATGTCAGGGTTAAGCCAACGTGTGCAAGTGGTGATGGAGATTAAACTTTGTCCCCAATGCCATCATGGCAAACTTTATTATTATTTTTTTGCTCTTCCAGCTGCTGACTCTGCCAGGGCCGCCCCTTTCCTCCATTCCCCACCCACCCCCCAGGCTGAGCTGGGTATTTAAAAGTCTGCCGCGGAGAAGAAACTCGTAGGAGAAACTTCCCAGAGTCGGCAGGAAGGGAGGTGAAAGACTTGGCCATTCGGTAGGTTCTTGTTTTGGTTCTGCATCTTTTTCCCCACTCCTGGGATAGTGGCTGGTTGCAATCTGGGTTAGAAACTTGGGGAGGGGGAGGGTTAAACACCCCCCCCCCCCAATACCCCAGGGCAGATGCCAGGGACAGCGATGCAATGCAGAAACCTTGAAGGAAACAAACAGGAGTTCAGGATCTAAAGGGGTTTCTTGGGTGTTGAGTTAGCAACAGGATTCCAGCCATGCAGAAATTCCCTTTTTGGAAATTTATTCTTGGAATAAAATGGAATAACAGAATAAAAAGAGGGTCCAAATTTTCTGGGATGTGTGTGAAAAAGAAATCTCCTCTCTTTCTCCTAAATTCACCCCCCGAATCTTATGTGCTTCTCTCTCTTTTTCCTCACCTCCAAAGGATCGACCCATCACCATGAAACTCTTCACTCTACTCTTCGCCGTGGGGCTGCTGAGTGGTGAGTAACTAAGTTGGGGTGTGCAATTTTACCAAACGGGGGTGGGGGAAGATAGAAAAACAAGTAAGCCCTCTGCTTATCAATCCTGCTTTGATTCTCTTGAAAGTTGTTGGCATGTATTCAAGTACTCTCCTTCCCAGAGGTGGAGCTTCCATAGACAGCAGCAGCCTAGCTCTGAGTTCTCAGGCAACACTGAATAAGAGAATAACCGAGTTGGAAGGGACCTTGGAGGTCTTCTAGTCCAACCCCTGGCTCAAGCAGGAGACCCTACACCATTTTGCACAAATGGCTGTCCGGTCTCTTCTTGAAAAGCTCCAGGAATGGACGTTCACAACTTCTGGAGTTAATTCTTAATTGTTCTCACCTTCAGAAAATGTCTCCTTAGTTCTAGGTTGATTCCTCTCTTTGATTAGCTTCCAGCCCTCTGTGATTAAACAAGAGGTAAAAAATTAGGGGTCTCTGGGCAGGTATGTCTTGTTTAATGGAAGGGAGGTCTAGAGATGACATGATAGCAGCCTTCCAATATCTCAGGGGCTGCCCCAAAGAAGAGGGAGTCAAGCTATTCTCCAAAGCAACAGAAGGCAGGACAAGGAACAATGGATGGAAATTGAAGAAGGAGAGATTCAACCTAGAAATAAAGAGAAATTTTCTGACAGGGAGACCCATCAACCCAAGTTGCCTTCAGAAGTTGTGGGAGCTTCATCCTTGGAAGCTTTCTTTTCTTTTCTTTTTTTAAAATTAAATTTAATTGAATAAACATTAAAAACAATTGAACCCAGTGCGACTTTCTTGGCCATCATTTTGGCCATACAAACTATAGTATAGAGATACACATATAGTGCTAGCTGCATATCATTTCTATTTACATTTATATACATTTATATACAATTGTATACATATTTACTTTTATCCCTGAAAGCTTTCAAGAAGAGGCTGGATTGTTCTCTGACAGAAATGGTGTTAGGGTCTCCTGCTTGGGCAAGGGGGTTGAACTAGATGACCTCCAAGGTCCCTTCTAACTCTGCTATTCTATCTTCTAACATGTGCTTTGATCCAGAGGGACTCGACTTCCCACAATATGCTAGATGAGGCTCAGATGGGGCAGAGTCGTTTGTGGGAAGCCAATGAACGAGCGTATTGCCTATTACATTTTTAAAAAAATGAAAGATGGTGTTTAGTTAGTCCTCAGCTTATGACCGTTCATTCAAGTTACAACAACACTGAGGGGAAAAAAATGACTGAACAAGAGTCCTCATTTTTAGAACCGTCGCAGCTTCTTTGCAGTCACGTGTTCAAAATTTGGACACTTGGAAACTGGCATGTACTTATGACTGTTGTGGCCTCCTGTGGGTCATGTGATCACCACTTGTGACCTTCTCTGTCAATTGGCGGGTTGGGACACAAAATTTGAGTCATGCTTGAACCCAGCTATGCCTAAACTTGGCTAAGAACCAACTATTTCATCAGAGTCGAGTAAATGTCACAGGCCTGAATTAATCTTCATTCCAGTCTGTCTCCTGTTTCCCATCTAGCCTCTGGGACTCCCTGCCACAACAAAGCTCTCCGATAAGTGAGGTCATTTTACATAAGGGCAGGAGGGCACTGTAATTAACCACAGGGGAAAACAAATAAAACAAACCAGGACGCAGTTTCTTGTTGGGGCTTGCCCTGCTTATGTAGTAGAAACCTGGGCTGCTCCGTCTATTTCAACATTTAGCCTACCTTGCAGGGTTGATGTGAAGATAAAGGAGCAGGGGGGAAGAAGGGATAAAAAAATTAAGCAAAGGTTTGACAAGGCCAACATGATTAGGCAGGGTGGGGGTGGCATGGATTTAGGAGAAAGAGGAGGAAGCATTTCAGCCAAAGAGAGTTTCAATAAAGGAGAATATTTGTAGCTCTGGGTTGAAATGAGGGGCCCTTGGTGGTCAGACAAGGAATAATGGATGGAAACTGATCAAGGAGAGATTCAACCTGGAAATAAGGAGGAATTTTCTGACAGTGAGAACAATCCACCCATGGAACAGAAGTTGCCTTCAGAAGTTGCGGGAGCTTCATCCCTGGAAGCTTTCAAGAAGAGATTGGACTGCCATCTGTCAGAAATGGTGGAGGGCAAGGGTCTTCAAACTTGGCAAGTTTAAGGCTTGTGGACTTCAACTCCCAGAATTCCTGAGCTAACATGAGTGGAGGAGGAATTCTGGGAGTTCAAACCCACAAGTCTTAAAGCTGACAAGTTTGAAGACCCCTGGTTTAGACGTTTCATCAACTAACTAGGTAACATCATCAACGCTAGAAGTGGGTGTGATTATTCTCTTTTTTTTTTATTCTAGAATCTAGTGCAGGGGTCCCCAAACTTGGCAACTTTAAGACTTGTGAACTTCAACTCCCAGAATTCTTGAGCTAACATGAGTGGAGGAGGAATTCTGGGAGTTGCAGTCCACAAGTCTTAAAGCTGTCGAGTTTGAAGACCCCCTGGTATAGGGCCTCCTGCTTGGGGGGGGAGGGTTGGACTAGGTGACCTACAAGATCCCTTCCAACTCTGTTAATCTGTCATCTGTAAAGTCTCTGAGCTGGATTGTTTATTCATGCAGATGTTTCATGACCCAACAAGGGGAACATCATCAGGGTTAGTCCTAGCCGTGATGATGTTACTTAGTTGGGTCACGAAACGTCTGCAAGAAAACAACAACCAAGCTCAGAGACCACCAAGGACCCCCCTCAAATTATCCCTTGCTATGGATACATTGAGCCTTTCCTT